CTCTCTGTAAAGAACAACTATTACTGTCCTGGAGTTTTCTTAGTACAGGCTTTTTTGGAGATGCAAAGTAGGAGACGAAGTTGGGTTACACTGCCTAGGGTCCAGAAGCTCTAGTACATAGACTACCCTCTCTGTTACCACATCTCCATCCGCTACTACTACCATCAAAATTCATAGGCCTTAATGAGTGCTTAAACTTGAAAAGCGAGTTAAAAATTTTGTTTTGCCACTAAATAAGGGCTGTCATTCTTTAGTGGCCATATATCACTAGCAATTTTTTGGTAAAAGCAAGACAAAAAAAACTCCTTTGGAAATCTCTTTGCATTCGTCTTTATTCTTTTTTTTTGTTTTGTTTTGTTTTTCTCCGGTACCAGGAACCAAACTCACGACCTTGCGCTTGCCAGGCAGGCGCTTTTGCCGCTGAGCTAAATCCCCAGCCCCGCATTCGTCTTTATTCTAAAGCAGTGGCTCTCAAAACTATTTTCTTGAGAGTCCAAAAACAAATACATTTTATTTTACTATTATGGCTTGTGTCTAGATATCCTCCCAAAGCCCTCATGCAGTCATGGTAGGTCTTTCTCAGAGGTGGGTGAATCATGGTGCAATGCTAGGATTAAGGGTGAGTGATTACTAAATTAATCCACTGATTGGCTTAGTACTGCCCTAATCCCAGTAGCCTGGGTAAGGTACAGGGGTCAGAAAGAAACTATGAAGTCCCCTCTCCCCTCATTGTTTTGTTACTTTCTGCCTGCCACAAACTGCTTCTCCTTTGTGAGACCTGTCTGCCATGCCACCCTGCCTCGGAGCCAGCTGATCATGGACTGAAACAGACTGAGCTAAATAAACCTTTCCCACTTTAACTTTGGGTATTGGGTATTTTGTCTCAGCAAAGGCAGAAAAGTAACTAAAACACCATTTACTATGCACAAGAACATAAACACCTGGAACAAAGTCAGATGCTTCCGTTGTTTAGGTTGTTTTCTCTGATATTTTCTGCTCACCTTTTTCTTTTTTCTTTTTTTTTTTTTTTTTTTTTTTTTTGGTAATACTGGCCATGTATGGTGGCGCACACCTGTAATCCAGCATTCTGGGAGGCTAGGGCAGGAGGATCACAAGTGCAATCTCAGCCTGGGCAATTTAAAGATACCATCTCAATTTTTTTAAAGGTTTCAAATACTTTAATCCATTAGTGCTGATCACAGTAAAAGATTTAAGATTCCTGATTAAACACATTCAACAGTCCAGCCAATGGTATTTTTTATTGTGGTATCATCTTGACCATGATGAAGAAGGTATCTTGTGACCTTGGAGAGGATAAATGTGCTGCAGCTCATGTGGAACTCCTTATAGTCCCAGCGTGGTCTTCCTCCAGTGACTCTTCTTGGAGTTGTACTGATTTTATTACCAGTCTTCATTGGAATCCATTGAGGAATGGGATGATTCTGCTTCTGTTTCTTGGCCAGGAATTGTTTGATTCTGAAGTCTTGTGAGAAGACATGGTTAGGCTTGGAAACAAGAGCACGCATTCGATGGCGGACAGAAGCAAAAGAGAGAGAGGCTGTCTCAAAATTAAGCTTTTTTAAAATGCCGGAGCCAGATGTGGTGGTGCATGCCTGTGATCACAGTACTAGCAAAGCTGAGGCAGGAGGATCCTTGTGAGTTCGAGGCCAGCCTGTGCTACAAAGAGAGCTCAAGGCCAGCCTGAACTGCATAGCAAGGCCCTGTCTCAGACAATAAGTAAGTAAATAAATAAAATTATTTTTAAAAATAAAATGCCTGATATATATGCTAGGCATGGTGGCGCACACCTATAATCTCAGCATTTGGGAGACTGAGATAGAAGGATCACTGAGTTCAAGAGCAGCCTAAATTGCAAGGTGAGACCCTGTCTCAAGAGCTAACTAAATAAGCAAGCTTGTTAAATGCTGATAAATTGATTTCAAGACCCTGTAGTGTAGTGAGTTATCACAGAGCAAAAAATACTTCTCTACAGCATCTCATTCATCGGCTGAAATGAGGTGTTTTAACAACTAGGCCGATGGTGGCAGGCCTTTCAGGGCTTTCAGTGATATAGATAGCCTACTATGGTATGTGTGCCATACATACACCACCGATAGGCAATTGGTGAAACCTATGTTGACTATGGTAGGTTTTTCAGTAAAGATTCAAAAGCAACATGCTTACAATTCCAGCTATTCAGGAGGCTGAAGCAGAATAAGTTTGAGGCCAGAACTGGTAACTTAGACCCTATCTCTGAATGATTTTTTAAAAAAGAGAATGAGCTAGGGATGTTGCTCAGTGGTAGAGCACTTAATCTAGCATCCACAAGGCCCTAGTTTGATTACTACCAGCACCAAATAAACAAAAAAACCAGGTGCTGTAGTACCTGTACTTTGGTAGGCCAAGGCAGGAAGGAAGAGCACAAGTTCAAGCCCAGCCCTGCGCAATTAAATTAGGCTAGTCTCAAAATTTTTTTTTTTTTTGGTTTTTCTCCGGTACCGGGAACCGAACTCATGACCTTGCGCTTGCCAGGCAGGCGCTTTGCCGCTGAGCTAAATCCCCAGCCCCTAGTCTCAAAATTTTAAAAGGGCAGAGGAAGTGGGTGGCTCAGTGTGAGGCCCTGGGTTCCATCTCTAGTACCCAAAAAAGGTGCCTAATGACAAATGTGTTTAACTCTAGAAAGTTAGCAGTGATTTTTTTTTTTCCTTTTCTGCTTTAACCAGAATAACTTATTGAAGATTTCTCCTCTTCCTTCCTCCTTTCTCTTCACAGTAGGATCAGCATTAACAGAGCTCAGAAGTGTAGTATGTTGTCTGATATCTCAGTTTAAGAAAATAGTTTTGTATTCTTTTAAGTAGTATGAAGTTTAGGATGTTGGTAATAAGAGTTACATTATTCGTCTTTTTCTTACCTGGAGATTACTTGTTATTTCCATACTCAGATGTGCATGCTTTTTCTGCAGTAGAGCTACATTTTATGGTATCTGTTATTTTCTTAGCTGTAAAATTAAGGGGATTAAATTAGATCATTTCAAAGGTATGACTGTTTCCATCTCTAAAATACTGCTCTGTGGTCCATATTGGTGTATCATACCAGGAGTGTCATTTTGTGTCTCAGAGTGTCATTTCACTCTGAGAGAGAAAAGGAACTCTGGGTAGACTTATCAATATTTAGTAGAAATAAGTTGAAAATTAAGAAAGTGCATAATAAATAAATAATAAAGCCCTATTGCTTTTTAATTTTTTAAAAAAATTTTTATTAGTATATGTTTGCAGTTCATATGGCTGCATTCATCATAATAAAGTCCTATGCCCCCCCCTTTATTTATTTAATTTTTTTTGAATGACCTTCAATTTCTGAGTTCAAGTGATCATCTTGACTTGGCCTCCCAAGTGCTTGGACTCTAGCCGTATACTACCATGCCTGGCTAAGCTATCTTGAGGGGTTTTGTTTTGTTTTGTTTTATCTTTTTGAGATAGGGTTTTACTATGCAATTCAGGCTGGCCTTGAACTCAGTGATCCTCCTGCCTCAGCCAATCCTCCTGCCTCAGCCTCCCGAGTGCTGGGATTACAGGCATGCACCACCACGCTCTGGTGCAATCACGTTTCTTGAGTGTAGTGTTCTAATGAAGAAGAGACAACCTGTGGGCATGAACAGCTAACACTGAGTAGGAGAGACAGGATTTGGTAAATTATCCAGTATCGATGAAAGATTAGGGGCATTGAGAGAAGGTGGAGTTGTTTAGTAGCGTGTGGGGGTGACACAGCCTTTAGCAACTTGCTCAGCAGGAGCAAGTGGTAAGGAACACGTGGAGGGGCTGCAAATTCCTAGGTTACTTAGTTGTTCAGTGGCAAGAGTTGAAATTTTAAAAGTCTTTAGAGGTTGGATGCTATCTTATAAAATCGAAAAACTTCTAACAGAACTCAGATTTCACCCTCATAGTAAACAGTCCTGAAAATATCTACCACTTTTTTTTTAATCTGTAAATGTAGATATAAAGCACAGTTGTTACTTTTAAGAAGCTCAGATAAGTAAAGAAAACAAATGCTACACACCCTGGTGATAAGTGATATGATAGAGGCTATGCTTAAATGTAGCTGTTTACAATAGGAGAAAAGTCCTTTTTGTTAAACCTAATAATCGATTTTTAAATTTTTTTATGTTTGTTTATTTTGCAGTGGTAGGGATTGAATGCAGGTCCTTTTTGCTGAGCTACACCAGTTAGCCCATTTTTTATTTTAAAATAGGGTCTGGCTAAACCATAGAGGCTGGCATCAGATTTGGGGTTCTGCTGCCTCAGCCTCCCAGAGTGCTGGGGTCACAGGTGTGTGCCAGTATGCCTGGTTCCCAGTTCTTTTTTACTCTTATTTTGAAACAGGTTCTTGAGTTGCCTGGCTACAGTGGAATTTGATTTGCTTGAAGTTGTAGAAGCCAGCCCAGAATTCCTACTATCAAAGATTCTATTAAAAAAAAAAAAAAAAAATTCTATGTATGGGGGATGGGTTGTGTTGTTTTTGTTTTGTGTGTGGTGAATTTCTACCAAAACTCACTTGACTGTTTTCTGTAAATGTTACTGGGAGCTGATTTTGTGGGGAAGAATGGCATTTGAGCTGTCAGATGAGCAATATGAGAAGTGTAATTTGAAATATTTAGTTAAGCTGCACTTTGCTGTAATGAAATGTAAAATAACTGGCCTGAAGTGTAGGAGTTGTTAAAGATAATTTTCAGCTGGGCGGAGTGGCACACACCTATGACCCCCAACACCTGGGAGGCTGAGGCAGGAGGATCATTGTAAGTTTGAGACCAGCCTGGGATACATAGTGATTTTAAGCCCAGCCTGAACTACATAGGGAGATCCTGTCTCAAAAAACCAAAGCAATAATTATTACTATTATTTTCAGAGAATTATTTTAATTCTGTTTATGAAATTAAAATGTGTTTTGATATTGTAGAACAGTCTTGCATTTTTATGATCTTAATTAGTCCCTTCTTTCTACAGAAATAGGAAGGTCGTTGATTATTCACAGTTTCAGGAGTCTGATGATGCAGGTATGTGCTGTGATTTCAACAAATTGTTGGACTGACTGGTGAAGGACTGCTGGTTTTTGTACTTCTTAGCGTGTTTTTGGAATAAGATTTATTTTCTGTTTTTACAGTATTTATCCAAATTATCTGTGTCACCCAAAATAGAAGTTGAATTTGCATGGGTTTTAGTAAATCACTGATAATAAATTGAGTAATTTTTTTGTAGTTTTAGAATCCAAAAGTTAAATGTCCGGTAATTCTTTTTTTGTTTGTTTGTTTTTTTCCCGGTATCAGATCAAACTCACAACCTTGCGCTTGCTTGCCAGGTAGGCGCTGTGCCACTGAGCTAAATCCCCAGCCCCATCCAGTAATTCTGATACAGTGTCTGTTATTTAAAATGTCTTCTGCTTGCCAAGCACAGTAGTTCATACCTGTAATTCCAGGCTGTGGTGGCTGAGGCAGGAGCATCACTTGTCCAGGGAGGCCAGGCTGGACAAGATAATGAAACCCTGACTTTAAAAAAGAAAGAAAGCAGTCTATTATGGTGGTACCTCAGTTGACAAGTGCTTTTGTTTGCAAACTCCGCATTGGGTGACAGCCATGATCTTGGCCATCTTTCCCATGCAAACACAAATGTGGCCATCTTTTCAAAAATCGTGGAACAGAAGTTCATGAACCCAGCAAGTGTTATAATAAAACCTATACCTTGTATGAGACTGCACAGAGCTTAAGGTTTTTGCATAATAAAGTAAGAAGAGTTTTATTTTCTGCAACCCCTTTGATTTATGAACTAATGCACATAGAATGAGTGTTCTGTCTTAAATCTTAGCAATAAAAAATTTTTTTAGAGTTGTGCCTTTAAATCTCATTATTTTTTGGGTGCATTTACTTTTCCTTTCTCCCTCTTTTCCTGTCCTACCCTTTATTTTTAAATACAACTTTATAAAGGTAGTATGTGCCCTTTGGGAAAATTTAGAAAACACAGAAAGTTATATGGAAGAGTAACAAAACTGGTACATAATGCTATATCCTAGAGGTAAGACTAATTAAATTCTTGCTTGCATGCCAGGAAGTATTCTGTTCTTTTTTTAGGAAGTATTCTAAATGTTCTTGTTTGGTAATTTATTTATTCCTTAGAACAGCCCTGTTATTAGGAAATATATTCTCATTTTACATTTATGGAAACAGGCAAAATAGCATTCAGGGTCCCCTAGCTAGCATATAGCTACATTTTACCCTTTTAGATAACTTTTATCTTTCACCTTTTTACCTTTTAAAAATAGCTAAAGCCAGATATGGTTGTTCACACCTATAATCCCAGCACTTGGGAGGCTGAGGCAGGAGAATCACTTGCCCAGGAGTTGGAGGCCAGGCTGGGCAATATACTAAAACCCTGACTTAAAAAAAAAAAAAAAAAAGAGAGAGAAAGAAATCTTGTACAGTGGTGCCCCATTACCAGAATTTGAGGCCAGCCTGGGCGAAACAGTGAGTTTAAAGCCTACTAGAACTACATGCAAGACCTTGACTCAAAAACAAAAAAATGAGGCTGGGCTTGGTGGATCAGGCCTGTGATCCCAGCATTTGGGAGGCTGAGCCAGGAGGATCGCCATGAGTTCAAGGTCAGTCTGTGCTACAGTAGTGAGTTCAAGACCTGGCTGAACTATAGGGCAAGACCCTGTCTCAAAAAAAAATGTAGTTGAGATCTTCCTATAGAGTTTTGGGTTCTGTCCCTATCTTCTACTTACTTGTACTTATGAGTCTCTTTCTCATATTACTAAAGATTATTTTTAAAATTCCTATTAATGATTATTTTTCATATTTATAACTTAGCCAACAATTCAATAATTGCTGAAGCTCCAGACTGATTCCAGTTTCTTACCATTGTATGTGATGGTGCAATAAACAGTTTTGGCCACAATCACCTTTTAACGTAGAGTAATCCTGTTAAATTTTACAGGACTTTTGAAATTGGAGGTATTTTCCTGAGCTACCTGAGTATCCAGAATACATAAGGTGTATTTCATACATAAGTTTAAAAGTAATTTGCTTGATGACAGTAATCGTTTTAGGATTGTAAGACGAGGTCTTTTACTTTCTAAATGCTTACAATATACAGTATTACTGTAATAATTTTCAGATAAATATAAAGGTGTTGAGATGTAGAAAATCATAAATTTAAAATGATAGATATTTGGGTGTAGATATATAAAATAATGTATAATGAGAACTAGAGGTTTATAGCATAAATGGAGTCAAAATTGTGAAACTAAAGTAGAAAATGTTTTAAAATGATAGAAGCCGTTTGGGGAATCTTGTCCTGCTAACCACTTAATAGGGCAAGACAATTAATGTCAGTAAATATAGTGGTGATTTTAACATGTAAAAATCATAATGTAGTTAATTCAGTTGAAAAATGCTTTATTTAGATGAAGATTATGGAAGAGATTCAGGTCCTCCCACTAAGAAAATCCGATCATCTCCTCGAGAAGCTAAAAATAAGAGACGGTCTGGAAAGAATTCACAGGAAGACAGGTAAGAGGCGCTGTTTGTGCAGCACTTACTCACCCCACTCTGCAGTGAGGGCAGCTCTGATCTCTTAAGTGGGGAGCTCTCGGGACACTTGGGAGGGACAGCACTGACTTCCCCTCTAATACTCAGCATGTCTTACACTGTCGCAGGCTATGCTCTGAAGGCCAAAGGGGTTGGCTTCCTCAGTGCTGGGGCTTGCTTGGCTTCAAATTTGAATCCAAGGTGACGTCCAAGAATGTCCTTACTCTGCCTCAGACCTCTGAACATGAGCAGAAAGATTAAGTATATAATTTGTGACTTAGAATTAGTATCAATGCTTACATTTACATTGTCATTAGTAACAAAGCACAAGTGGCCTCTCATAGTCACTGGTAGAGTAGTAGAGTCATACCTTAAGCCTGTAGAATCTTAAGCTGCATAGCCTGCTGAATTTTACTATCTCATAATTCTTTTTTTAAATAATTGAACCATTTTGTATAGTTTCTTTAACTGTTTCTTTTTTTTTTTTTTTTTTTTTAAATGAGGTCTTGCTGTGTTGCTCAAGCTGCGCTGGGGCTTGCAGTTCTCCTGCCTCAGCCTCCCCAGTGCTGGAATTACAGGCGTGCACCACCGTGCACTTCTGTTTTTCAAGGAACAAACACGTTCTCACACTCATAACTTTTGAGACCTACTTGATGGTGATGATGATGATAGCTAACATTTATGAATATTATGTACTTTGTATATTTCATGAGTTAATTCTCACAGTACCTCTCAAATTAATTGTTGTTAATTTAGAGGGGCTCAAAAAAAAAAAAAACCAAGTTTACCCAGCAAATGGAAAGGATATTTTGAAATCATGTTTGTTGGACCCCACTGTGCATTTTTCATCCATTGGGCTGTATCACTTCCACACAATACTTTTAGAGATGAGCAGTTTTAAAAACAAAATATTTCTCACTTGTTCTTCCAAGAACCTTGATACACTAAAATCACTATTAAATAAATACTTGTTTACCTAGTATTTTTGTTTGTTTATGTCACTAACTTATATTCACTTGGCTGGGAAATTTCAGAAATGCACTTTTCAAGAAAAAGAATACAAAATTTACTATTGGGAAACAAATATTCCTGAGTTACATCTTTAGCCCCTTTGGTTTTTTGTTGTTTTTCGAACTTGGAATTAAACCCAGGGCCTTCACACTGAACTGCATCCTCAGCCCTTTTTAAAATACTTTGAAATTTTGGGGCCAGGGATATAGCTCAGTGGCACAGTGTCTGCCTAGCAAGCACAAGGTCCTGGGTTTGATTCCCAGTACAAAAAAGATATTTAAAAAAAATTTTTTTTTGAGACAGGGTCTTGCTAAGTTTTCCAGCCTGGACTCAAACTTGCCATCCTCATGCCTCAGCCTCCCTGAGTGTTGGGGTTATCTGGCTTTTAGTCAAGTTTTTATTTTGCAACCCAACTAATTTTCATTATCTCCACTTAATGTTTCTCTTAGTAATGAGCTGCTTATGGTCTTTTACAGTATCTTATTAATGTAAATATATCAGCCTAATTGTTTTTCTTGTTAAAACCACTTGATTTTATCATTCTCTTCTAATGTTAGGAATTATTGAGATAAATACAATTTTATCACCATTTTTATTAAATACCTTGTGTGTATTTCTCAGACCAGTGCAGTGTTGATTCTTTCATTGTTCTCCACTTAAAATTTTAGCTTTTAAACTGGGCATGGTGGCAGATGCCTGCAATCCCAGCACTTAGGAGGCTGAGGCAGGAGCGTTGCCATGAGTTCAAGGCCCACCTGGATTGACTACAAAGGAGACCCTGTCTCAGAAAAACAAACAAAAAAAGTTCAGCTTTCACTTGACTTTGCTGTAATGTTGTTCAAGGATTAACAAGTTTTATAAACACATTAAAATAACCCCAAAAGCGATATTATTTTTCATCATCAGTTTATGAATTAAATGCATTGTTGTTGTGCTGGTGACAGAACCTGTGACCTCATATATGCTAAGCACTTTACCACTGAGCTGTACCCACTAAATGCTTACTTTGCTTGGAAACATTAATACAGAATAGGTTTCAGAGTTGTAAAGTGTCTTAAACGTGGAGTGCTTATAAAGAAATATTTGGGGGCTGGGTGTGGTAGCGAAGAGTGGAGGTTCAAGCCTAGCCTGAGCAACTTAGTGAGGCTCTTCTTAAAATAAAAAATATGAAAAGGGCTGGGGAGGTAGTGAAGGCCCTGGGTTCAATCCCCAGTATCAATGAGTGAGTGAATGAATTTATTTTGGGTTGTTCTATTTGGAATCTTGGGTTCTATTTGTCTTTTGAGTATGGTTTAGATTATGGCAAGTTTCAAAAGTAATTTATAAGACCTGTATAAGAACAGAAAGCTGTGAAGGCAGTTTTTAGTGAATGAGTGTTGTCATGAAGTCATAAGATTTTAGCACTGAAGAGCACCAGTGATTGGCTGAGATCATACAATAATTAGTGACAAAGATGAGATACTAGAACTCAGATTACCAAGTTAGGACTTGCTGAGAACATAACACATGTATGGTTATGTATTATTTTTAGAAAGTTCCCATTGAACCTTTTTTTTTTTGTCTTTGAGACAGGGTCTCGCTATGCAGTTCAGGCTGGCCTTCAGCTCACTTTGTAGCCCAGGCTGGTCTCAAACTCATAACAGTCCTCCTACTCCTACCTCAGCCTCCCGAGTGCTGGGATTACAGGTGTGCGCCACCACACCCAGCTCCCATTGAACTTTGAAGCTCCTTATTTTGCAGAATAGTCTTGAGTTCACTCATATTGGACACAAAAATTATTAGGAAATAATTAAATCAATTCATTTCTGTTTTAGTAATTTTATTCCCTACTTCTCTGTAGAGGATATTTTTCTTATTAAATCTTATAAACAGGCCTATGTTGAAGATACCTGTTACTTTCCTTTGCAATTTGTTTTCCACATAGATACAATGATCCTTATTTACCAGCATCCCAGTAAAGCGAGCAAATAATGGAAAGCACTTTCACTCCTTAGCATCTCTTTGAACATTTTATACATAGGAGAGGTATTTTTTGGCATTCTTCTCAGGTCAGATACCAGATTTGTGTTCACCTATACTTTGATGTCAGACTTTTAAACATTTTTTTCCTCTTTGCCTTATAGTGAGGACTCAGAAGAAAAAGATGTGAAGACCAAGAAGGATGATTCTCATTCAGCAGGTAGTAAACTATTCTTAATGTGACAGGTACAAATCTATGCGTGTATTTACTCATTAGACATTTTTGTTTTGTTTTGTTTTGTTTTTGTTTCTCTTCCGGTACCAGGAATCAAACCCACAACCTTGCGCTTGCCAGGCAGGCACTGTGCTGCTGAGCTAAATCCCCAGCCCCACTCATTAGACATTTTAAAAGCAATTTTATATCCAGGTTCTGATGCAAAGACTGGGATTACAAAGATGTTCTCATCTTCAAAGAGAAAATAGTGATTCTCAGTCTTGGTGGCTTTTTACAAAATAGATATTCTGAGTCCTACCCCAGCATTTCTCATTCAATAGGTCCTAGGTGGATTTTGAGGGTTTAAGTCTCCTCAGATGGTTTTCATGCCTGCGTAAGATTGAAGATCAAAAGCATTGACATGAGTAATAGGTATCAAACTAACTTTGTGGGGCCGGGGGTGTCTGCCCATGTCTGTGTGTGTGACAGTAGGTGAAAATAGAGGTATGAAAAAAGGAGTAATCAGCTCTGAGTTGAAAAACAAAAAAGGTAAGTTCAATCCCACTTTCTTTAGTTGGAAAAAAGTTAAAACAGTGGCCATTGAGAAAGCTTTTTCCAGGTGTTTTAACTCAAAAGAATTAATGTAAATTACTGCACCAATACAGTATTCAATCCCAATGACATTGATGGTATTCATTTTTACTTTTTTTATTTTTTTTAAATTTTTTGTCTTTTTTTTGTCTTTTTGTCTTTTTGAGATAGGGTCTCGCTATGCAGTTCAGGCTGGCCTTGAGCTCACTTTGTAGCCCAGGCTGGTCTTGAACTCAAAACGATCCTCCTGCCTCAGCCTCCCAAGTACTGGGATTATAGGTGTGCGCCACCTCTCCTGGCGATAGTATTCATTTTTAAATGTATGCTCATAAAGAATTGCGAATTTTATTTCTTATTGCTCCCAGCCACATCATTTTTGACCTGCTTAGTCTTCTCAGATCTCCCATTTTATGAGACTATTTGGTTAATGTGTAGAGGGTAGACATCTTGCACTACATTCAAGCTTATACTGAGCTGTTTTGCCTTCCTTTCTATTTAATTATTTAATTTCCTATTTATTTGGTGTTTGCACTGAAAATAAATTACATTAACCTTTTAGATTATTTGTGAACTTGTGATAATTGACTTTTTTTTTTTTTTTTTGTACTGAGAATCAAACTCAGGACCTTGTCTTGCCAGTCGGGCTGTACCACTGAGCTACATCCCTGGCCGATAATTGATAATGTAGTATACACTTCCATTCATTTGCCTTGAAAACCCTAATTTGAATCTCGCATTTATTAGGTTTTTTTGTTGTTTTTTGTTGGTTTTTTTTAGCACTTCAAGATATATAACTCTGTACTTAGTAATAATACATCTCCTATTGTGTAGGATTAAAGTCCACTTAAGTTGGCTTTAGTCTTCACTTGCCTCAAGTGAGATTTAGCAGTGAAAGTGATCACTTGAATGCTGTCCATGGAAAGGATCGTGGAACTAGTATTTTCACACTTGGTCTTAGCAGAAAGGCTAAGAGGCGACTTAGAAATGTTTTCAGAAGAATGATAGCTAAACCTTAATAAAATGAGGAAACCAGAAAGTCCAAGAAGAAGGCTGCAAGTGGAGACTAATTACAAATATAGCTTGGTCTAAAGCCAGTAGCCTGGCAGCCTGTCCTTTAGCCAGATTTATTCACAAACACAACTATGTATTGAAAAAACTTGAAAAATTAATCATATGTGAAAATTTCATCTCTTTGTTGTATTACTAGAGATTGTACCCAGGACCTTCACTCTGAGCTACATCCCCAGTCCTTTTTTTT